AAATAAAGGTCAAAGGTCAAATCCAAGGGTATATTTGAAATCTACACATATGACTTTTGGAAAGCCGCCTGTAGAAATTTTTCCCATACTTCCTCCCGTAGGGTAGATAATTAGCTTTTAATTTTGCCATTTTTGGACAAGGGTGCATTACAATGAGTGCCACACCTAGACCCCAATACCGACAAAGCCCAAATTTTACGTGGAACGAGTTGAGATTATAGGTGACCTAAATCCAAGAGATGAGTATTGAGGCCCTTACCGTCTAGGAGGAGAAGCGGTAACGGTAACATGGCCACGGAGCCGGCGGAACGGACCGGACGGGACTAAAACCATGTGTACCGCCAGCGCTAACGCTGGTGGTACAAATATCTGTTAGCATTCCAAACGGTTTAGAAAGATCTAGAAACAGGCATAGCCCATGATAGCAGTGCTGTACGTCAGCCTGGTATGGCCTGCTATAAAAAGTTCGTCCCCACGCTACAGCATCAAAATTATGGATATGAAATTCCTCTCCCTTTATCACTCTATCTCTCTTTATCGCTGTCTCTAGCACGCTCTCTCTCTCTCTCTCTCTCTCTCTCACACACACACACACACACCACCGCCACCACCACCTCCACCAGTACACACACACGAGCTTACTAAACACCTACCTATACATATTAATGACTCAGAACGTCTTTCAAACAAAGTAGACTATCAGTTCCAATGCATTGTACAATGTAAAAAATCATATAGAACTAAAAAATACCCTATGATGTGACTTAATGCAACCAATGGCGTGGTTTTATTTGGCGATTAATGCTGACGATTGAAGTAATGCATCGATGCTCGCGGAGTGAAACCCACACCAAGGAATGACCTCAATCAGTCATCTGTATATCGGTTTATGTACATGTACATTATGCAGAGAATGCCCCCCGTACACTTTTTGGGTGTAATTTTGGTCTCAACAAAGCATGTCAAACATTTGAAGCAGTACGCTAATGTACTGCATATGGAGACGGAATACAACACAAGTCACGCCTAATATAATATACGACTTGCATTATTCGAAAGGTGCGATGTGCGCATGACCGGAATTGTGCACTGCAGGGGTCAAAATAGTACCGGAAGCGTTGTTGACAGCGATAGGAACACCTGATGGGAGCATAAGACATGCCGGGCGATATTTAACAAGCCATTTGAGGCGAAAACGGTGCCGGAGTTGAAAAGTTGGTTAAAATGAAGGATGCCCACACATCAGGCAAAAAAGAAGGGCTGATAAAAAGGTATGTTACACGATATTTTCTTAAATACACGACCAAATACAAAACCCTAATGTGGTCATTATGTAATTATGTTCACCTGAGTCATTTATTGGGGAGATAAATTTGTCACCTGGTTCAGGCAATTATCTGATACAATCTCTGAGGTGGGCTAGTGCACTGTACAGGTAATTAGTACAAGCTCACTGTCAATATTGATCAGTGCATCTATCATTTGGTGGGCTAGTGCACTGTACAGGTAATTAGTACAAGCTCACTGTCAATATTGATCAGTGCATCTATCATTTGTTTCTTCTTCATTATATTTCTGTTGTGTATCCAGGTAGATTTCAGTTAAAAAAATATGACGAGGCATGTCAGGTTTCTGTTTTGTCATCAGTCTAATATGTATGTATGTAAATTAATCACTGTTATAGATGTGTTGATGATGACTTTAATAATTGTTTTCATGACTATTTTTTACTTGTTTTATAGGTGTAAACTGTACAGTGAGGATAGAGAGAGAAACAAAATATTGGATCCAGACGGCAGAGAAAATTAGAAGTAGGCCTACCAGATTGAAGTTTGAATCAAGACAGTGGAGAATGGACCAAGTCCTTGAAGGGAATGCCCAAACCGTTTTTTTTTTAAATATTTGCCTATTAATAAATACAATTCAATATTTCGTCTCACAATTTTATTTTGCATAATAAAATCAATGATGTTGCCTTGGAAATATCTTTCCAAGGTACCTTACGATATTTCACTGATCCATGTTTTAAAATGCAATGTTTTAAACATTTTCTAGATATGTTCAAGTGCATTGTGATAATAAAAATGAGATATTTGGTAAAATTTTTCTCTTTTTTGTTATTTGCATAAGTAATGTACGATTCAATACTCCTTCACAGTCCTGTTTAAACCTGGTTTTAGTTTTACTCGGGTCTAAGCAATGGCGATAACAATACTCTAAAACCAAAGTAAAACTAAAACCAGCTTTAATCTTGCTGTGAAATCAAACCAAAGTTTCACATGACAGTTTTCATGCCATTTTTTTATACTGAGGTAATGTCAGGGTATAAAAAGTCATGAAAATTTTTAATTCCTCGTAGGTTTCAAGACCGATGTAAAATTTAACCATTTCAGGTTTGTTGTGCATAGACTTTATGCTAAAAGTGTGTTTGTCAACTTCCTCATGTGCNGCACCTTGGATGATTAGCTTTTTGGTTGTCCCGCCACTTTTCGCCTTTTTGTTTAAAAATCAAGAAGACCATTGTCATTGTATGGTGCCACCCAGCAAACACGTCACGTTGGTACCACGTGGTTAATCCTTTGCTCTGACGTTATAATGTGGTAACAACGTGCCAGCCACATGATCCGAACGTGACGTGTTTGCTGGGTAACTGGTCCATCCTTTATCTGTGTGTGTGTGTGTGTGTGTACACGTGCACGCGCGTGAGAGAGAGCGAGAGAGAAAGAGAGAAAATGGACAAAAGAGCTACCAATGCCATAGTTTCCCCGATATTAATGACGTTCCCTGCAGCCGCATCCCCGCTGTACCCGGCGCCATTGAGTTTGATGGGTTCAAGAACCTCGACCGCCCACCCAATGTCAGAGATAAGGGCGTCCTCATAATGTCTGCTGCCACAAGGACTGGTTTCTGACAAAAATAAAGTAGACCTACGTCAAGCACATAAATATCGCAACCAAGTAGGTTGAACAGAGATAGGCTACAGATTAAATTAGGCCTATGGCCTATGTTGTAGGCCTATGTAGACAGGCTGAATACAAAAACATGTAGGCCTACATTTTCTATATCATTAATCATATTAAATATGGTATCTGGAATAAAAAGCTTTGTTTACAACAATTTACACCTGTGAGGTGATCATTTGAATAGGGCCTAATAGCATGTGGAATCAGAGGAGGGACACCTTTTTTCATCAATGGCGTCGGCCTATGTAGACTTCACCATATTTGGCCTTAATACATAGACCTACACGAGAAGCGCGCTGATGAATGCTGATATAAGTTTGTCAGTATAATGGATTTTTTTTACTGAAATACGTATAGGCTTATTAAATTATGCACAACCAAGGGGAAAGGGATAGAAAAGAATTGGCCCCTGTCTACTGATATCAAAGAAGATAGCTAGGCCTACAGGTAGGGGCTATACCCTATATTGACCTTCAACGTTATATCAAAAGGGCTGTCACATTACCTGAGAGAATCCTATATTTAACCTCTGGGTTCAGGATAAACGGATAAAAAAGCAGCTTCCCGTCTGCAAGTTCCACTTTACCGTTGAGGAGGTCATCATCAGAGACAACTGACATATCTATCCCATAATAGTCTGTAAAGAAACGAGTCGCCTTCCTTCCTTCTAATATGACGCTTTGGTTGCTAAAATAAAATAAAAAAACATTTCACGATTATAGTTATCTATTTTAACGTAGGCTACATTTGCAAGTGCTGGGCAGTTAAACTCTTGAATGCGACTTTGTCTTCTCTGAATAAAAGAGGGATTAATTTCAAAGCATTATGCCGCCATTGGACGTCTAGGGACATAAGGACACCCTTTGAAACAATTCTAAATGTGTGCTATTCTATCTGGAGATAAAACGATTTTTGATCTCGGAATTTTGCGGATTCACCTCTATGAATAGGCTATAACTGTTGCAGATTTTTGTATGAAGCCTAAATGATAGCCTTGGCCTAAGGTCTATAACTTTTTGCCTTACAAACGTGAACGAATCATTAGGCCTACAGGCTTAATCCAAACTTGACTTAGGCCTAATTTCTAGAAATGGTTTTACATGTGGCCTTACTCGGAGATTGTGCACGAGTGCCATTGTAACTGGAGATTTAATGCCCCGTTGACCTTAAAGGAATGTGTATAAATTCAAATAAATTTTACGGTCGCAACTGTTGGTTTCGTAAGCTCTTACTCATTTCTTCCCGCGCACGCGTGGTGCTTTAAAAACCTCTCCAGATCCTGCTCAAATCCAAGAAACACTCCGTCAGCAATGAATGTGAACGTGTGGTCATATACAGTAAGGTCCAAGTCGGATCTTTCTTTTTCCTCCCTTTTGCACTGGTCGGAGTCCAGAGGGTCTAACCACTGAGACTCATGTGTTCCACGGACAACGTGTAAGATACAAAACAGTAGAAATAACTCCAAAGATCTGAAAGATTGTTTAAACAATATAAAATTTCTGTTAGCATTCCAAACGGTTTAGAAAGATCTAGAAACAGGCATAGACCATGATAGCAGTGCTGTACGTCAGCCTGGTATGACCTGCTATAAAAAGTTCGTCCCCACGCTACAGCATCAAAATTATGGAGATGAAATTCCTCTCCCTTTATCACTCTCTCTCTCTCTCTCTCTCTCTCTCACACACACACACACACACACCACCACCACCACCACCGCCACCGCCACCTCCACCACCTCCACCAGTGCGCACACACGAGCTCACTAAACACCTACCTATACATATTAATGACTCGGAACGTCTTTCAAACAAAGCAGATCATCAGTTCCAGTGCACCGTACGATGTAAAAAATCAGATAGAACTAAGGTACCCTATGATGTGACTTAATGCCACCAATGGCGTGGTTTTATTTGGCAATTAATGTTGACGATTGAAGTAATGCATCGATGCTCGCGGAGTGAAACCCACACCAAGGAATGACCTCAATCAGTCATCTGTATATCGGTTGTACATTATGCAGAGAATGACCCCCGTACACTTTTTGGGTGTAATTTTGGTCTCAACAAAGCATGTCAAACATTTGAAGCAGTACGCTACTGTACTGCATATGGAGACGGAATAAAACACAAGTCACGCCTATATACCAGTATGTAATGCCCCTATTTCACACAGACCACGAATCCCACGAATCGACAGGAATTGACAAATTTCAGGATTCTTGAGGATTCGTGAGATTTTGCAAATTTTCTAGCCTAATTCGGCACGCTCTACGATTCAGTTACGATACAGGTGCAATAGGGTTACGAATATTCGTGGGATTCGGCTGGAATCGCACGAATATTGTCAAAAAATTCACTACGATTTTTTGGAATCGGGACTTCGTGGCCAAAATTTTGAACAGCTCAAAATTTTTGCCACGAATTCCCGATTGATCAAGAATTGCAAGAACTGACTACGATTATATACGAATCTGTTAAGAACTTCACGAACTGATTACGATTCAACCACGAATCCTGAAATTTGTCAATTCCTGGCGATTCGTGGTCTGTGTGAAATAGGGGCATTATGGGTGGTAGCGGGGAACAGGTTGTGCGCAACACTGTTCAGTTGACCCTATATATATATATCGACAGCATATACAACCCCGGATTGGGTCTTAGTGTATCTGGTAACACAAAGATAATCACAAGCATGTAGCGATGAGCAGCTTGTGTGATTTCCTCATCTTGAAATAAAAAACACACCGGCATACTTTGAACCACTTTTATTCAGTTAACAGATAGGAATTCACAATATTGCTAATAAGAATGAATCAAAACATCTTCAATCAAGGTATTGTGCGTTCACTCGGCGTCGCTATATATTACGACAACCATCAAGTTGTCTTTCAGATTCTTGAACATTTACCACCTAGTTGTGATCTTGTCGAAAAAAGTATTTGTCCCAATAATAACTGCTACCAGCACTATACCATTCCAATATTCACAGTAATTTTTGAATGTTACTAAATGTAGTACCGACTTGTAAAGAACTAGATGAGGGTCGTGACAAGGTTGGAAGAGATTAGATAACAAATATCTAATATTAAAATAAATGACGTCATTCAGATATCAAACTGGCCCACCCCCTTGACAAAAAAACCTTGATTTTAAATAAGAATGCCCATGAATGAAGTAATAATCAGCAATATAATGCTATTGTACAACCATCTTCAACATTGAATTATGAATTTTGAACCAATGGATTTATACAATGAATGATAATGAAGAAAAGGTCTTTTTGGGAACATTTTGTCTTCTTCAGAAATCAATTATTGGAATATTTACCTATGTTATCTATATGTGCAGATTGCTTTTTTAAAAGCATGTTTTTCGTCTTCCTACCATAATTGTCATGTAAGTTTTGACAAATATCGACAGATTCAGTCAGTCCATCAGGGTTTTTCCCTTTCTCTCTAGTCTTATGCTTTGGAGAAATAACAATTTCTACTTTTCAAATTCTTTTGTGCTTCCACTGAGATATAACAGTTTCTACTCATCAGAATCTAGTCTGCAAATCACCAAGAAAATTGACCTTATCATCAAATGTACCTTCAGCTTTTCTGTTTACAATAATGTTTCCTCAATCACATACATTTCATCTTTCTGGCAAGTTAAGCACAAAGGTGCCTTTTGTATACCACATTGTCTTCATGGCTCAGGCCACCATGCATTGGTTTAAAAGGCTTAAGGGAGAGTCAGATGGAGTTAGAAGGTTCTGTCACATCCCCTTAAGTTCTCAAATTTTTTGTAGGTAAAAGAAACCCCCCTTTCATAAAAGTCAGATAATATTATAAGACATTATGCGATGCTTCAGGGTCCAGAGACCATGTAACTACAATGACAGCGGGGATTTCACACCCTCCTCTATTACATCCCGTTTCACCTCTGTAACCACAGATAATTCATCACCCACAGAAGTGAATTTGGCCCATATCATTCTGGAGATCTCCAGACAAGTCTGATTTCATGTTTCTTAATTCTCAAGTCTGGTTCTTGTGACCCACTTAAGAGCTTGATCTGGGTCATATATGACAATGATGAGAGAAATGCCATATCAAATCTAGTTCAAATATTTCCTGCATTTCTTTGAGGCACAGGTGCAGGGGATTTTCACCTCTTCATAAGGGAACTTGTAGTCGTAGGTAAGCTCTTCCCCAGCCTTGATTCTGAAAATAAATAAATAAATAAATAAACACATTTATTAATATTCTTTCAGTTTACATGTTAATTTAAAGGCAATTTACCTCCTGTAATCTTTTAAACTAATTTTTGTATTAAAGTGTTGAAAACAAGGATATGAATTCTAATACTTTTGGTACAAAAGTAAATAAGCACAATTCATTTGCAGTACAGGGAAATAAAAATGTATTAAAAGGCAAATAAATATATCCTTACGGTCGGAGTGCAAAGATGACAATATGTTTCTTTCCATCCACATTGATTACTTTGGAATAACAATTTGGCTGAAAAAGAAAATGAAAACAACTGGTTATAACATTTCTTTTTAATTAAATTGTTACTTTTGAAATATTGACATACGGAATCACCATTTAGGTCCTGAAAGAAACACTGGTTCAGATGTAACTTTTTACACCAGGGAGACTTAAAATCTCAAACTAAATGATCATCAGCACAACACAATACTTTTGTCACAATCACTTTAGCACAACTAACACATTCATCACTTACATCACAGGAATGGTTGATGAACCTGGCAGCATTGCCATGCACAGTGGCATCTACCACATCAAAGTCATCAATACGGAACATGTAGCAGCCTATGCCCTGTAACAACATAATATAAGCAAGTAAATAAATATCTGATATCTTGGAAGAACAATTTGTTGCACAAAATCCTGCATATCATAACAAGTTTTGATGAATGTTTTTTAGCATTAATAAAAATCTTTAAAAACTTCAGTTTTAAACAATTTCTATGCCAGTACCTTGCTCTCATAATATCTCTCCCTCTGGTCAGTCAGAACTGACCGGATGACCTCGCCAGCGTACTCTACCACCATCTCACCATCGTCTATGTCACGCTTGCAGAACAAACCACGCCCATGGATCTGAGATCTACACACATGAAAAATAATAATGAAATTAAACAAATATTATCAGCAAGCAAATAATTTAACAGTATTATTTTCATAAAATAGTTCACCCTTAAAAAATATACAGCCAACCTAGCAAATATTTTCTTTTTTAAAAAATCTCTTATTTTTTTTATTTTGCTTTATTTACTATTACTTATATTTGACCTACCTGTATGCTCCCACAGCTTCATTAGCATGCTCCCTCAGGTGTCTGAATCTCATTGCCATTGGGATGGAGAGACTGGTAGCTCTTCTGTAATAGGAGGTAATATAAAGCCCTAGGTTAATATTATTTGCTTGTCAAGATAACAGGGATGCAAAAAATTAAATAAAAATGAAAAAAAAAATTAATAAAAAGATTATCAATCAATCAAACCTAAAAAGAAAGGAAGCAAACAGTAACACATCTGAGCTCTCACAGTACCTGTAGTTCATTTTCTTACCACTAAAATTATTATGTGAAATATATTTAAAATTCCCTATTAAATTCTAACAATTTCAACAGTACCTTGAAGATTTATGTGTCAAATCCATGTCCTTTGCGTTCTCTTTGAAATCTGGTAATTTTTTGTGCTTGGACATCAGGAAACTGAACATGTCATAGGGCTTACGTTCCCCACTGTAAGGCTCTGATCTCGCACTACCAGAGGGATTAAGAGGAGGTTCCTGTGAAGTGCAATAAAGAAGTTTTACAAACAGAAAGATTGTTGATTTAAAATCCAAATATGCTAGTATGTACTTTTATGTAAGGATCTATTTTCAAAATTAAATGGTCCCTTTAAAAAAAAAATAACAAGTTTCATTTGGTATTTCTTTAAATCAGAATAAAAATAGCCATGAAACCTGATTAATATTTCTAATGTAAGCATGTATCATTGATCAAAAGCGAATACACCCCCGTAAAAAAAAAAAAAAAAAAACATCGCGAAAAGTCTTATCAAGTTCCGATTTTTTTCCCTAAGAACTGATAGCTGTTATAACCACCATATGATATATGCATTTATTTTCTGCCTTTTTGTATGGAGATGTTAACAACATACGGAATCCAGGCCGACAGCGTGCTCTCTCCGCAGCACATCCGGGCACCTTGCGCATTCATGTCTANTTTTTTAATAGAAAAAAAAAAAACCATAAAAACCCAATAAAATTTTAAAATTAAAAATGTATTATTTTGAAAAAAAGAAAAAACCCCCCGAAAAAAAAAAAAAAAAAAAAAAAAAAAAAAAAAAAAATATATATATATATATATATATATATATATATATATATAATAAAACAACCATTAAATCCAAAAATTTCCCTTCACCTCTTCAATTTGACTCGTGTCATATTCATGGTATTTGAACCTATAGTTTCTGCAGTACTGGGCTCCATACAGCTGCTCTATCAGGTACACTATGGCGTCATGATTCAGTCCAAACATGCTCAGACCATCAATGCCTGAAAGAAATATGTAGCTGTGTAAGAACTGTACTACCTTACCCACAAAAAAAATACTTTATGCACTAAAGGCTATAAAAAACAAAGCAAATAAAATGCTTTATCCAATACGCATTACTTTATCCACAGGTAGATGCATAAGAAACTTTACACTTTACCCAAATGACCTTCATAACACAGAAAAACATTGATAAATGTAATTTTTTTCCTTTATAATACAGTTGACTAAGAAACTCAATACTTCATCACATGGTATAACACAGTAAAACTAAAAATAAATCAATCACGAAATCAACGAGGAAATAAAAACAAATAAAAAGAACTACATAATATTCACTACAATCACACCCAACACAATCACACCTGACACAATGCCTTACTGACCTGCATAAGACAGCTGCTTCATCCTGGCTTGTGTTCTGGCATCCTGTACCTTATCAACTACAGCTTTCCATGCCTCTGAAATAACATATTTAAACCACATCATATGATGACCAGATATGTCAATTCAAGTCTTTGAAAAGATTTGGTTGTTTGCAGACAAAACTTGAAGTAGAAAAGGATATTTTGATGCAGCATTATATAGTTACTGTTACAGCAATAACTTTGTCTGGTGTTACAGATCTGGGTAGGGTAGCCACCCGACACCATGTATCTGTACTTACAAGAATAAAATCTGACAAAAAATGTTGGGATAGGAGTTAGTTTGTCCAGCATTCTTTCTTTAGCTTTGGTTTTCATTGTTTCAACATGATCCTCACCTTCCCATGTAGGTGCCTGCACCTTAAATCCATCATCACTGGTGATTTCAAACATGAAGTACGGGGAGTTCCTTTTCGCCTGCAGGGCTTCCCGTCTCATCTTCTCCTCGTGTTCTAGAAGAGTGAGGATTGGAGAGTCCGAGACCTCTTCCTCATTTTCTGGCGCGGGGACTGTTATTGGTTGGTGATGAGGGTGAAGGATAGGATGGCCTGAAATGGCACCTGAAATTTTGGGGAAAATAGCATCTGTCAATAATGGCACCACAGATAAACTTTTGGATGTTTCTTGCCAGCTGAATCTTATTTTTACTCTCTAAAACAGATTCCTCTCTCTGCATCATGAAGTAGGGAGTAAATTCATTTTCTCATTTAAGATGGACTTTCTTCAAAATGGACACATGATGCTATTTTCATCTTACAACAGACCACTTAGCATATAATATATTTTTAAAGAAATGCAAAAATATAAAAAAAATTTGCATTACACATTTGACAATAAAATAAACATTTTAATACAGTAGAAAAAAAAAAACAAAAAAACTTACCACCATCTTGAAGCAATGACTTCTTTAAGTTTTCCTTCCTTGGCCTCTTTTTGGTTCCCTTACGAGGTGACCTTGGCTGACCTGCTAACCTGTTGGTCTTAGGACTGGAAGGCTTGCTGAGCTTCTGTGGTTTAGGTAGAGCAGATTCTCCTTCGGTAGGCTTTGTCACAGATTTTGGCTTGTTGAAATAAGTCATGCTTATCCCTATACTTTTTTCTGTTTGGTTCACCAACTGGGCTAATATGGGCGATTTAGCAGAAGGGCTGTCAGATGCTGAGATTTTCTTTGGTTGTACATTTTTGACATAGATTTCCTGAATCCCCATAGGTGTCTGAATTCTAACCGTCTCTCCGACATAATCAGCTAAAGATTTTGGAATCTGACCTTGACCTTTGGTGGACAACACACTGTTGCTGGCACCATCATTTACAACAATCATCCGTTTTTTTATGGGATCTTGCTGGCCTGCAATAGGCATATTAGACGGTCTTTTCCTAGACAAGATGCTAGGAGTACGACGACCATAGCCATGTTCAGTAGTGTGCTGCAAAAAGAAAGATATTACATTAAAACAAATCCCAATTTCACCCCGATTTCTGTACTAAAAGTACAGTCTACTAACTTAATCACTCTAATAATCTTACATTTCTACATTCAAAGAGTAATCATAATGACCTTATTATGCCAACAATGATGTCTTTTCTTTGTGGATCTGTCACCAGCCAGTTTTAGTTCATCAAAAACAATGCTTTTTGACCATTGATGCACAAATTTTAAGTAGAAACTCATATCATGTACTTACCAGTTGTGATCCAGCATGTGTGGTCCCTACACTAGGCACTGGTCTTGTAGGCAGGGGCAAACTGCCAAATGTCTGAATGCCTTGGTGGTAAGTGGTTGCATGTTGGGAAGGGCTTGGGGTAGATGACAAAGTATACCCTGCTGGTGTTGATAACAAACTGTATTGTCCTACTGAAAATACTTGGGAACCTGAAGAAAACGGTTGGTTCACTTGTATGCTGCTGACCCCTTGAACCTGATGACCTAAACTTTGACCTTGACCTAAACCATGACCTAGGCCTTGACCTTGAGCATTAAATGCAGGCTGCTGTGAAAGATCCGTGCTAGGCAAGGACTTCACCATCTGCGAATCTATTTGAGACATAAGCCCTGACTGGTGTGGCAATATAACTTGTGAAGGGGGCGCCAGTTGATTCCGGTAAACCACAGACACCGACTTGTCCTGTGGAGACTTCATCTTGATGATTCTCCTCCTTATCTCCCCTGCATGCATAGGAATTGTGTGGGTATTCTTCCTTCCAGACAACAATCCTTCGGAAACACTCTGAACAGTTGGTGTAATCATTCCCGAGGATATGGACAACAAAGGATTGGAATTAGAAGTAACCGGAACCTGGGAAAAAGAAGAAATGGCCGACACACTAGAACTGGTTTGCATTGGGATGGACGAAATAGCACTGGAAGTGGACATCCCAGACGGCATGATGACCCTCTTGACAATCATCTTAGGTCGCTGGGTTTTATTCACGACCCCCTTTAAAATACCTGGGGCTACTTCCAAAGCACCTGTCGCATCTCCTTCTCCTTCAACACAGAGAGAGCCAACGTAATGGAGCTGTCCACTTTTCATCATGTCTGTCATGTCCTGAGTGAGCACTGGGGTTTCCAGGTTGCTCTTCTGAGCAAGCATTGTATTTCCTAAAGAGTTTGTGATGAGCAGTTCATTCTGTGGGGATGCAAAATTGGATGCTTTGTTGATTAGCATTTTAAGTTGCGATGAGGCAGATGGGGTCTGTATGGTACTAGGAGCAGGTGGCCTTGCTTGTGGATGCATCGAAATTGACCGACTGGAATGCAACCTGGACTGGTTACTGGGGAGTGTTCCTGCAGTTTGCTTAGGCTGGACTTGTGCCACCAAATTCTGTAACGAGGCTGGTAACTGGCTGTTTATCGAAGAGTTGGGCACTCTAGGGATGTCTCCTGACAAATGAGAACCCTGAATAACTTTAATATGAGGACCTTGTTTGCCTGTTAGGCTCTGGGAGTTCCCAGATGATATGTTCTGAATTTTATGGGTCCCTGGGTTGTTCTGTTTTTGTGGCATTTGCTTCTCTTTTCTAGGGATAGCTTGAGGTATGGGATTTTTAATTAGCTTCAACAGAGGGGCAGAGTCTCCAGAACCAAGTTTGCTGGGAGGAATAAGCTGAAAGACAAACTCATTAGATTTAATTTGTTTCAATTCGCCTGTTGGCTGCTTTGACTTTGGGGCATCTTGCTTTAATTCATGCTCAGATTGTTTCTCCACTCTTGGTCTCATGGCTGGTTCCCTCAGAATTTCAGCATCAGGAGAAGCACTGTCCTTAAGAGTCCCAAATTCTGGATCAAATAAAGCAAGCGCTTTTGGATCATTGTCTTTCTCTGGAGAGCTATGGGTAGATTTCTGGACATCACTTCCATCCTCAACTGTTGAGATATCTGCAGCATAAGTTAGCTGTTGTGTCCCTCCTGATGTCTTCATCAATGTATTGGCTGTTGTAATTGAAGTAGAAACAGGGTTAGAAGCTACCCCACCAATACTGCATTGTATGTCTGATGCTAAAGTGTTCACTGCAGAGACGGTAGATGTTTGAATATTTGAGGCAATAATCGATTCCGACTCTAGAGGTACATCACTCTCTGAACTAGACTCGCCTCGCTTCATCTCAATGTCATCACTACTGGAATGGGACCTCTTCTTTGTTTCCACCTTTTTTCCTTGGTTAGAATTTGGATTTTTGAAAGGTACATCTTTTTCAAAACCTCTCAAAGTCAAAGCACTGTCCTTGTTTTTTGGTTGAGAGAGAGAAACTGAGACATCTTCAGCTGTAGTCTCTTGAAGATCACTCTGCTGTTGTGGCACCTTAATTTTGGAGATTTCTTTGGAAGAATTTATGACCGAGAGCCATTCTTCCTCCTTCATCCCCTTCTCTACAGTCAGACTGCCTCTTTCAGTATTGTCATCTCCAAAACTTGTGTCCGTATCCTCAGTATGCCTTTGTGCTGAAATTTCCCCAAAACTCTCAATTCTCTTAGAACCCTTTCCTTCATAAGTCCTTGTTAATCTTTTTGGATTGAATTTTAATTGAATTGACCCATCCGAATCTTGACCAGAGTCGCTATCAATCTCAATGGATGCCATGTCATTATCACTTTCATCACCACTAAGTGCATCATTCAAATGTTTAACCGCTTTCATCACCTTCTGATTTGGAACCATTTTTATGGAGTTTTCCCTTGCTCTACGGAGTGGGTATTTTGAGCCTACAGTTTTTACATCATCTGGATTTTGTTTGGAAAGTGACACATCTAGTCCTTTTGGTTTCCTTTCTTTGGTTTGCTCTTTGGCTTTGGTGTACTTCCCCATGCTGCCATATGAAAACTTGCATGCTCTGCCCTTGCTTCTCCTTGTGGGTGACCCAGAATCATCCTCACCAAAATCAATTTCACTGTTCTGGTCCTTACTGCCTAGATCTTTCAAGTTTTTCCTTATTTGTTGAGAGCTGCAATCAGCCTCACTGCCATCAGACCCGTCACTCTTAAAAGCATGAATTCTCTCTTGCAAAGGATACTTCCTTGGCCGCCCAACAGCTCTTTTTGAAGGTGATACATCCTTCTTTCTCTGTGAAAGTGATGTGCTCTCTGAAACTAGATCAGATTCATCATCACCTTCTTTTGCTAATATATCTTGCTCAAGGTATTTTCTTGGTCGACCTCGGCCTCTCTTCACACTCTGTTGCAGAGACCCATCTGAAGGTTGGTCAGCTTCTAAAATTTGTGGTGTTTTGTGTACATTTTCTCGAGCAGATTCATTTTCATCATCTGACAAAGAATCCAGTAAAGGATACTTTCTTGGTCTTCCTCTTTTCTTAACTGGATTACCTTCTTGAGAGTCAGAAGTCTTCTTTTCAGACTCTGGACTGCCTGCTACTTTATGATCTAAATCTTTGTTTTCTTCCATGCTGGGTGTGTTGTCATGCTCAAGATTCAGGCTTCTTCTCCTTCTGCGAAGCATCCTCCCTTGCCCATCATCAGATCCACAAACCTCAGATAAACCTTCATCACTGCTTTCAGAATAAGAATCCTCTCTTGTCTTTTCTGGTAGAGGTTTAATTCGTGGCCTTCCTCTTTTCTTCTTGGGAGGGTTGTTCAATACTTTTTGAGTAAGTGGGACAGGTAGTTGTGACAGAGTTGATTTGGAAGCAATTTCTGTGATTTGCTTTAGTTTGGGAGGTCTTCCACGTCTTTTTGGTGTTTCCTCTGTGGACTGCTCTTCTTTATCTTCTTCATCTTTGTTTGTATTCAAGTCCAGTGGCATAGATTTCCTTGGCCTACCTGGCCTCCTATGTAATTTCTTGACTTCTTCGTGTTCATCATCATCATCATCTTTTTCATTATGCAATTCAGAGGGGTCTACCTGAATCTTCTCCTCAACATGTGCTTTTCTTGGACGTCCTCGTCCACGCTTTTTCACTAATGCTTCAACTGAAGAAACTGGCAATGCTTCAACTGAAGAAACTTTAATATGATCAGGCATATCAACATCATCATTGTCACTCTCATCAGTGCTAGAACTGACTACATCCGTACAATCCTTTTCATGACGTCCAAAGCTTTCCTTAGTTCTGTACATTCTTTTGCAATTGGAGCAGCGGTAGGGACCTCCATCTTCTTCAATGTGCTCCAAACTTTTTAGCTTTATCTGAAGAGCTATTTTATCATGAAGAGGTAATTCTTCATTAAATTCGATTCCTTCCTGGGATAGTCTCCGCACATGGGATTTGTTCAGTTTCTCCAAAATGACTTTTGCTTGTGGATATGTATCATTACTGTCCTTGCCAAGAGTATCATCATCTCCAGATTGTGCCGTTTTTTCATAGCCACTGAATAGCCCATCTTTATTTTTGTCAGAATGAATGAGTGCTAAGGTCTCTTCGGATGAAAATTTACCCTTGGCACTCTCATCAAGAAGTGCTTTCTTCTCATCTAATTTCTTTTGTTCACTTTCACGACATATCTTTGCCAATTTGTCCCTAGACATGGCATGTTCTGCCAATCTGCCAGCAGTCCTTCTAAGTGGATAAGACTTCAATCCGACCAAATTTTGACCCTTCTTGCTTCTTCTCCCGCTGCTGGGACTAAGAGGACTTCTGGGACTGCCTAGAGAGTCATCGCTCAGGACTTGACCATCTGTGTGCTGATCTTCACTTGAATATCCATCTTTTGCTTGAGTAATTATTTCAGCTTCCTTCAGCTTCCTTTCAGCTTCAGAAGGGACCTTTGTGTGCATGCTCTTTAATGGTACTTTGTATCCAATAAGTACCCCTTTGTTAATAATAGGTATTTTGTTTGAATTATCTGAAATGCTCTTTTTGATTTTTTCTTCTCTTAAAAAGTCTTGTCCTTTAATGCTCACGTCAGTGTGTGTATATTCATCTTTCTGGGATACTGACTCAGGCGTACCAAGTTGAGGGTTACATGCTGTACTATTATCAATGATGGGAGTGCTTTTAGATGTGTCGCTGTGTCTCTGCTGATAAGGCTCAAAGGGTATACATCTGTCTACTGTAGCTACTACTTTATCAAGCAACTCGGCCATGACTGATGTCACCTCTTCTATCACGCTATCCGCAGATTCAGCAGGGGCTGCCTTTGCTTTACTATTCTCTCTGCTCATTGTAGGTTGAGAAGAATAAATTGCTGGTTCATCATCCATTTTTTCATCATTTCTGTTTAAATTCTGATTTCCACTGGACAACGAGGCACCTTGCTCAGGAAGTGTTACTATTGGTCTTTGATCACAAGTTGACTCCTGCTGTGCAGGCTCCATGTCTTCTGTCAAATCTACCACAGGGGGCATGTTTCCTCCAGCAGTGGTACTACCAGTCTGGGCACCTCTCACAATGGGAGCCAGAATGCCAGTGACCACAGGTGGAGGTAAGGCATTTGGCATGGCTGGGAAAGCACCTGCAGGTGGAACCATGACTGGGCATGGCATTGCTGGCATCAGAACTGGCATGGGGAGAAGACCCGGTGGGGTCAGTGAAGGCAGACCTATAGAGCCAGTGACGGGTGCTTGAGGTAGACCCATATGGGCTGACGCACGTGGCTGCTGTATTAAAGGCAGTGGGGATGGCTGGAGAACAGGTAATGGGGGCTGCCTTACAACAGGCATAGCTGTCTGCATTAAAGGCATCTGAGACTGCATTACATCAAGTGGTGTGTGGACAGAATTCACTGGAATGTGCTGGACCATAGAAGCAGGTGGCTGATTCATTAAGCTTTGAGTTTGTTCCAAGGGTGCTGTGTGTGCCTGGGTCATCACACTGGTTGAATGGTGTAAGGCAGCAATGGTTGACAGCATTTCACTGGCACTGCCTGGACAACTGGTCACTGGTGATTTTCTTTGGTCTAGACTGATTTTCTTTTTGGCATTCATCTGCTTGGGATCGTTTTCACGACTTGCTTTGGCCCCCAATGGTGAGGACTTTGGCGATGCTTTAAGAGAAGAATCAGAGCGTGCTGGTGAGTTTGGCTGGGAATTTTGTCTTCCAATAATACTGTTACGCAATATCTCCCGCACTGACTCTCCACTATCTTGCCTGGAGAGGGAGCTACTGGAAGAAGAAGAGTATGGACAATCAAAACTTTGAGAAAAGCTGTTTTTCCTTGCTGCTCCCCCTCTACTAGGACTAATTGCCTGTTGTTTATCAAATGGCTTACTTCCAGAGGGACTTTTGGGTACAGAACTCTTGGTCTTATTTTGCTTGATGTCATGCTGGGCCTTATTAGATTTTCCAGCACTTTTAAAACTCTTGAGATAGTCATCTTCTGAAGTCTGCTCCATTGCCTCAGACACCACTGTTGGCACCAGTAATTCTCTGATTGATTTTTCATCAGACTGGTGGGTAAGCTGATTACTAAACTGATCTGGGACAGGGGATTTAAGTGATGGAATTGGCTGTGGTATGACCTCTGGCTGTGAAGATCTAGAAACCATCAACTGTGTCGTAAAAGGTGGCTGAAATGGCTCCATCTGGACACCACTTTGTAGCAAGTTTGTTCCTGATACTGGAAAACAAGCAGTTGGAGGAGGGACAACTTTTTCACAAATGATGTCATCATCTTCAGCATCACAATCCTTTTCTTTATTATTTCTAGCTGTGACTAAACATGAATCAGAGGAATTGCTGATTTCTTGATCTTTGTTTTCTTCTGTAAGAACTGTTTCATTGTTTGCTTTCTCTTCCACCTGAAACTGACTACAACTATCATTTGCCTTTTCTGCCACTCTTACATTCTGTCCATCATTACCATAAAGCTGCTGCTCTTGAATACCATCCTCAGCTTGAATTGTCTCAGTTGCCTGTTTTGTGGGGACTTCTGTTTCATCCAATAATCCATCTTTGATTTCACTCTGAGTTGAGCAAGCTGTAGCAGAGAGGTCAGTATTATGGTGTTGTTCTACTGAACAAATAGCAGCATTTACTTGTGGGGCATCCTTGACATTTGAAGACTCCTCTTTGTTGGAGGATTCTTCTAGTGTCTGTTGGTTTGCATCCAGGTCATCATCTAAACTAACTGACTGCTTAGTGACTTCCACCACTTCTCCTTTTTCATCAAGAACAATCACAGTAGCTTCCTTGTTGTTTTCAGTGTTCTGTTCTTCAGTTTCATCACGGTATATGATTATGGTACCCCTATTGCTTTCAACTTCTATAGCAATGGTGTCTTCTTCTTCTAAACTGGAGAGTGGAACAGCTTCATCCATGTCCGTTTCCATGGGAACCAGGTCGTCACATTCTGCCGAGTTTTTGGGTGGCAGAGATTCTGTTTGAGACACATCCGTTTCTTTTGTACACAAATCTTCAACTGAAGCTTCAGACCTATTAATTATATCGACTGAATTGTCTGAGTCATTTGCTCTCTGCAATTCAACTTCTAAAGTGTCCACAGGTGATTCTTTGACATTGTTATCCTGTGTGACCTTGCTTGATGTTGCTGTCTTCTCAACAGGTTTTAAGTCTGATTGATGGTCTAAATCAGATTCATCAGTTCTTTCCATTTCAACCACACCTTTGTCATCCACCTTTCTATAGTCACGAACAGGCAAGCCAGGAGTTTCAGTTGATATATCAGTGTCACTCTCCCCTGATGCAATTTGCTTCTCCCAAAGCTTCTCATTTCTTTTCAGGTTTTTATTGGCTGCAACGTTAAGGCGTTTGGTGAACTTCCTCAGGTTGGCCAGCTTATGATCCTCCAGTTGAGGAGAAGCGACAACTGGAACTGCCTTTCCAGGGTCAAGATTCAATAACTTTAATGTCTTGGGAGACAGCACAGAGAGATCAACTGTGGTTGGTTTCTGTGCCTTGGGCCAAGATTGACCAAGACTAGTACTGGCAATGTTCCCCCACTGAGGACTACCCATGACTCCCTCTGGCAAACTGACACTTCGTTTTAGCTTCTTGGCGCGAGGCTCCCTGTCAGACTTTTCCACGTTGCTTTTGTCTTCCAAATGTTGAGTATCGGAGGCAAATGATGGCTTTGGCTGCTGTTCTTTGACAACTGATGGTGCATCAGCATGAACAGGTTTCATTGAGCATGTGCTCAACTGACTTAATGACTCCATGGCTTTAGCGTCATACTGTGGATGAGTCTCATCATGGACAATGGTCATATCTTGCATGATGATATCTGCGGCATTATCCTCCGTAGGTTGGACCTCTATAATCCGGCATGTGTAAATACACCTGCGTCGCGCATCTCTGGTGCTCCAATACACTCTGGTGCAGCTGGAATAAAATAATTTTTTTGAACCATTTTTATATACAATTCTTTTGGAGTTTCACTCACAAAAATGAAATATGGAATATAACTTTAAAATTCATAACCTAAAGAGCCACAACCTTAATGTAGTGCATATTTTCATGATGATAAACAAGACATTTTGTATTTGTATTTTGAAAATTCACATGGGTAATAAATCGATTAACTCACCAGAATTCCACAGGGAACAACAGATCATGAAGGTCAGATATGGGACATAATCTACCAAGGTTTTCAACTGTCATAGAGCCTAGGGAAAACAAGCAAACAATAGCTTGGTGTTATTATATAAATCCAGTAAAGCTTATTATCATTACGTACAAGTTTGATAACATGGGATAACTCCTGAAGGTTTTTATTACCACTAAGTGCAAACTTTATGTTTGTTAAAACCAAAATGAAGCTTAAGGAGAAATCAGTTTTGTTAACAAGTTTAACATACTGCATCTTCCATCTCAATATGGTTGAGCATGTCTCATAATAAACTGAAGAGTAGATGCATGTTCACAAGGGAGCTTTTACCCAACCTGATTCAATAATGTTAGATAACATTTCTTTTGCTATATGGCAATTTATCTGCTATTTGTTTTAAATCTACATATAAATTCTCATCAATACACAAGCTTACCAACAAGAATGTTCAAAACATCCGGTTGTAACCCATTGACCCAGTTCTTCTTGGTCCAGCGTATGCTCTCCATATCCACACATGCTCTTCTCAGCACTGCAAACTTGTCCTTTTTCACAACCTGAGTATACAAGCAAACAATAATAATAATAACTAATAATAATAAATGAATAATCAACAATTGTGTCACTTGATAAAATTTAATTACAAGAGACACACTGCATTTATGATGAAATACTTTCTTCTTGAAAGATACATATCATTTTATCATCTGTGAAATTGTAGGACAGCTACAAAATTGAATTTTAAAAGAAGTCATAAATTTGGTTGTTTTATCATGTGTCACTGTTGAACTGTTGTTATAACACTGAAGCTATTGAATAACAAGCATTTTTCTTTACCTCTCCATCCAAATGAAACCTATGCTCCCAGCAGAACACTTTCTTGTCCTCTTGGAAGATGCAGTTGGCCTGTTTGGCACAGATGAAGTGGTAGTTGGATGGACAGCCCCTGGTACAGCACCCAACAGTGGCACCACTCTGCTTACACCTCTCACACTTCTGCAAGTCAGATTAAAAAAAACATTCGATGTTTCACAGATGAGACTGCCATTCAGTGAAAAAGTCAGAAAATATGGCATGGGGACCAGGGGGCTACCTAGGCCAATGATATTTTTGGCTCCCAAAAAGTTGAAAATGCCCCAAAAGTAGGGAAAATCTTATCCCTCATGTTTACCTGGGATAAAGAACATGCTCTTCTAAGGCCAGCACAATAAAATTTAGCCAAGTGCTAAATGTCTTTGAATCTGGCAAAGAAAAATGTGAACTATTTCTTTACCTTTTACCAATGAGCTTGTCTGCATTCATTTTTTTTTGAAAATTTCTTTTTGAAAATTATATCCTAATTATATTCCTGCAACTGACATTGATAACAGTCCTTGGGGAAAATGACTCCCTCCATTACAGTACATACCAGCATCCTTCCCCTGGCCATTGCTGAGTGGACATTCTGGAGTGACCCGTCCACTTCCTCAAACACCTCAGCTGACCACAAGGCACAGTTGACATGCGTCCAGTCGTCCTGGCCAGCATACAGGAGTCTGCCTGCATCCTGGAGAAAATGAAAATTGTGACGGTCATATTGGTTAGTTACACAGGAAATGCCCAGAAGTCTAAAGTGACTCAGGGAACAGGCAACAAATATTAGAACAAAGTTTAAAGTTGGCGGCATTTTGTGGTTATCTTTATACACTATAAGTGCTTGATATTTAGTTGTTACATATACTTTCTTTTCAACAACAGAATGATAAACAAATATTAAATTATGTATAATAATATCACAAATATGTGGATTACATTCTCTTTGCATGATGCCAGCTTAAGGTATATTACCCACATATTTTTTTCTCTTTTAGCTTAGTTAATAAATAAATAAGTCTACTAACATTTGGTGTGTCATCTCCAACCTGACCACAGAAGGAACATTTTCTGTTGTCCTCCCCAAAAAATTCACTGGTCTCCTTCAGTGGCTGGTCAACTTCTGTTATCATGGTGGCAAAGTTACCCGTGTTCTCTGTCAAGGAGGCTGAAAATTAAAATATTTTTATCATCAAACTTAGAACACTTAAGTCACTTTCAATTCTGACCAAAGACATGATTTATGGAAAATCTGGTGTTGGTTTGAAAAAATACCTCTTCAAAATTGGTCTGAAATTTGGGATAAAAAATTGTAATCAACAACAACTGAAAGTAAATATGTAGCAGCCCTCTCAAAGTAACTATTTGTTGTAACATTAGCCATTTTTCTGGTATAAAACGTGAACAATGCTGAAGAGGACTTCAGATTTATCTTCATTTAAGTTTCAGTCTCAAAGTTAAGACTACTTTTTGAATACGGTAGTTCCATATTTGTAAAACTGGCCACAAGTCTTAACACTGCTGAAGTCTTACCAACGGGCACTACAGTCTTTGTGGGTGACCTGAGCATCTTTTTGAAGGGAGAGGGTTGGGGCGATATGGGGTGTTCCTCTCTCTCCAGCCACTGTGCGTAGGTGTGGTCATCAGTAGGGGGGATGACCGCGTCTGGCAGCATCCCTCTGGAATTGGACAATGAAAATATTGCAAAAGCTATTCAATGTTTTTATCAGTCAAATACCAAAGTGTTATAAGTCCTTGTGAGTAAAAACATGATAGAAGAAATTTCAACTTTCCTTTTATTACTTTAATACTGAAATGCCACTTGTCAGTCCACTGTTGGTTTAAATTTTTAAAAAACATCAATAGAGCTCAAGAAGTGGAATTAGCATGTATTTATAATAAAAAAAATCTGTTCTTCAGCTGTCATTTTCATTATAAAACTTACGCTGGCAGATTGCTGCTGTGTTCCCACAGATTAGACTTGTTCACATTAAACCAAGGAAAACATTTCTCCATTTGCTGAAAAGAAGTGGAATGTTTTAGGAGCAGGGTGAACTGGGTAAATGTGAAAGTGTCTGAATGCATAATTACAATTTACTAGATAGCATATTACAGACATTAACATTAAACATTGAAAGTAGAGGAAAAGAACAGGATTAAAAATAAAATTGTAATAGCTTTTGCCTCAACATCAGGAAAATCCTACCCATAGAACAGAAATATTTACACCTTATATAATTGTAAAGCCATAAAATTTAGTGTGTTTAAATACGAGTCACATGTAAAGTCTTTGTGTCTTTGTCCTAACCTTAACAAATATGGACCGAACTGTGTTGTTTGCTTTCCTCACATAGCCAGGTAACAGGTCTTGTTTCTTTATGGCTGCCTGAATTATCCTGATGATGTCATCACTGAACTCCTCCTGGAAAACAGTACATCCAAATTATAATATTTTCTATCATGGTTATATCTCTATAACCCCAATAGGCTGCTTTATATTAGCATTCGTATATGGCACAGTCAACAAACACTTTAAGTTTGAAAAAATGTTCACAAAAATTAATCCTGATTAGGATCAACATTTTACTCAACAATTTTGAGTTTTCAGTTAAAATCTTCTCTATCATTTGATACAAATTCTTACCAGTGTCTTGTATTGGTTCTCAGTCAGTTTGGTTTTAATTTGATGGAAGTCTTGTGGGCAGCCCTCTGGCCAGGTGTCTTCATCTTGCTGTTCCTCTTGACCACCCGCCACTTCACCATGTGATACAATACTCTTTGTTTTGTCTCCTGTCTGTTTGTTTTGGGAATCAACACTCATCTCTTTGTCCCTTGTCTGTATACTTATGTAATCCTCTTTTTGCTGTAATGATGTTGTCGTGTCCATGCTTTCATCACATGTTTTAGTTTGATTCTGTGATATGCCATGCCATCCCGGCTCCTCTTGGTTGTCTGTTTTACCTGTACTGCTGCTGCCACCTGGTAATGGTTTGGCTAATGCTGATCCTTCAGAACTTCCCAGGGCAAATCTGATGAACTGGTCTTCATATGTGGAGATAGTTTGTCTTGTACTGGTTGCTTTTTGAACATTGTTAATGTTTGTGCAGCTTTCAGATGTTACATCTGTCAAAGATAATCTCTGGCCTGAGCTAGGGATTGTCTGAGTACCCCCTTTATCATTCCTGGAAGAGTCACTCTCTAAACTATGGGACTTAGGGTCACTAATGCCTGAGCTTTCCTCACCTTTATATATAGGTGATGAAGCCTGAACAAGTGCCAACAAGTTTGTGCTTTCATCAGCTTTTAATCCAAAACTGGCCTCTTTTTCATCCTGAGATTCATGTGCTGAACTTAATTCTGATTGGTTAATTGTGCTGTCAGCTTCTGTTGTCTGCTCCACCATTTCCACATCTGTACCAGTGGAAACTGAACCCAATTTAGACATGGCTGTGGTACCATCACTTTTATTTTCAAAGGAAATCCCTTGACTTGAAATCTTGCTATCTTCACTGGCATCTTCCATCCCTGAGTTAGATGTGAAAGAAGTATGTTGTCCTTCTTCCAGATTGTCTTTGGTAGAAAACTGAACACTGCTGTCCTCTACTGGTAGTGATTTGTCTCTCTTATTTTCACCTCCATCAACCCCCTGTAGAGAATCTTCTTGGTTGGACGCCTTGTCCACATCCTCATCACTTTGATTCACAGAGCTCTGAACATTTTTGTCTCCTGTTTGAACAACACTTCTACCTGTCCTTTCGTCAGATTTTGGCAAAGCTTTCTCTGCTGTCCTTTTCTCTGCCACAATTTTAACCCCTGATCTAGTCACACGACCAACAGATGTCTTTTCATGTTCCTCATCCTTAGTATCTGAACCCATACCACCTCGTTCATCATGTTCCAAATCAACATGACTAACATGTTTATCAATAAATTTGTCTGTTGATTTTGTGTCATGACAACCAGGTGCTGCCATATCAACATCTCTTTCCTGATCAGCTTTTCTGCCCTTGACGCCAGATCTTGTCACTCTCCTCTGCTTTTGATCTTCATAAACAATGATTTCTTCATCACAAGACATGTCCTGGGCTTGCGTATTGTCTGGTGCTTCACTGTGAATGATTGGCGTCTTCTTTTCTTCCTTACCTTCACCTTTTTGTTCTTCTTCATGACCTTCACCTTTCTTCGACCCAAATTTGGTCCCCAATCTGGTAGTGTGTTCTAGAACAACTGGTTCTTCTTCAAAAATATTTTTGTATTCTTCACTGGTACCTGCTGTTACAGATAAACTCATCTCTTCTAGACTCTGAAAAAATAATTCAACATGATTTTAATCATACTTTAAGTTTTGTACCTGTACTAATGGGCTTAAAAATTGTTTGTTTTCTTAAAAATTTATCCACATTCAGCACTCTACTTTATTGACTGGAATCAAAAACACAAAAACAGCTTTATTATTATAAATAAGTCAAAATTGCCCTCATCAAGTAATTTTTCAATCCATTAAATGCACATACATGTTTAAAATTCATGAGATGCTGGGCACTCTTGGACTGGGTAATGGCCTGAATGACCATCTGGAACCCGGTCATTCTCTCTGCCATGACCGCCTGCTCCCACTGGGCTGGACGGCTCTTGGTGCAGATCTGACACGTGAAGGGCACGTCATCAGGGAGATAGGAGACTAGCTGGTACACCTCATCTGAAATCATTAAAAAAACGAAGTTTTAATATTTAAGAGAAATATTGAAAAGAAAATTAATTCTGAAACACTACAGATGTTCTTAAGCTTGATATGTGTTTAACTCCGAGAAATTTTCTAAAAAACAAGCAGTTAAAACTTTGTGAAATGGCAGCTTGTGGCCCTCATGGCTGGTGGCCTTAATTCCTGACTAATAGCCATGTAAACTTGGCCTCAAAGTTTCACTGCTTGACCCATGGTCCCTCAACCACTTGACCACTACCTACCTGTCATGTTCTCGCACTTAGCATGGACCCAGGCCTCACACCCTGAACACTGCACCATCTTGGACTCCCAGTCGTCGTCCGAGTAACACTTGTGACACACAGGACAATAATTACCTGGTTACATGATAAGACATCAAACATAAATTTAAAGGCAATGCAATTTATTAACAATACTAAACATAATCTATATGGACTGATGACTTACTTGGAGAAAATTAAAATGGTTCCACTTTTTTTTAAACTAAATTTATCACCAATTTAGAGCAAACTTCCGATTTGACTGAAATCCTCTAGCCATTTGGCCAGGAGATGTTCCTACCCAGAGTAAACCCAGATACTAACCTTTGTCCATTAGCTTCCCACATTCGTAGCAGAGCTGGAAGTCGTGCGTCCACATAGCACCTGTTGTTGTTCCTGGCGATGTGGCCCCACAACTACGACACTTCACACACTTTGTACATACCTGAAATGTACAGTTTTATTTTGCCATATGAAAGGGAGAAAAAAAGGCAAGCTACTTGGAACTTGTCTTCCAACACTCTTTAGGCTTGCTTTGAAATAATTAGAAACTTGGCCTCTATTATAGGTAAATTCTCTACTGCTAGAGGAAGTTAGTGTCCAATAAACTCTAAAACTAAGGGTGATTCAGCAGAATACCAAGTACAAGATTTAGTAAGTTTATGCTGTGCCTGGTGATAACATTATTTCCTGGAATTAAAGAAATTGGGGTGTCCTTTTTGATTTAAGGAGAGAAGAAAAGAGTTCATAAGACAACCATGTAAACTGTGCTGAACTCACCCATATCTTTTTGTTCCTAGATGGTTTGGTGGGGTAGTTAGGACCCAGACACTCGGGGTGATAGGTATTGTTGCACTTGTCACATTGCAAAAGCTGGAAATAATCATTTTTTTAAATCAATTTGACTATAAACAGGGCATTATTAAGTTTTCTAGATTGAGCATTCAATAATGAGCTTCTGAAAGTAAGCAGACTCTCTTTGTTGTACCAATACAGCCTGTGACAGCAAGTGACATGAACCTGTAACAATTTAAATATGCCACAGACTGAATGGGTTTCTACCCCTGTAATTTCAAATTAAGAGATTATAAACTCTACAAAATGAAATCAAAATGCTCCGACTTACATTGTTCCTTCTACCACACACATTGCAGAACTGACATCGTCTACATAACCAGTTTTCTTGTTCATCTTTGCTTGGTTTCTCATGTTCCTCCAGACAAAATAGATGGAATGGCTCACAGCAAATATTGCAGTAAATTAACTGAAAGTATAAAATATGGAATGGTTTCTATCAAAACTACACTGGTTCAATTGAAATTAAAATATGTGACAAAGCTAACAACAAATACCACAGTAAATTTGCTGAAAACAAATATCCATCTTAAACATGCAGTCAGTAAGTTGGACTTGGCAGACAGACCACCCAGCGTCAATGAGTAAGTTTTATACAATTCATATTCTACAAATGTGATGTAAAATTGATTTTCCAGAATAACTTTTTAATCTATATGACTCTTTTCTCTCCTATGAGCTTAGCTCCATACAGCTTAGCATAAAATGTCTTTAAAGTAATTAATATCAAAATACATTTTTCAGTAAATGTTAACTCACATCATGCTGGCCAGCACTGCCACAGAGGAAGCAGACGAGCCTCACACAAAACGGTGTTGCTGCAATTAGCGACAGACCTCGCTCCCATGCAATATCTATGTCATAATTCTCCTGAAATTTCACACAATGGATGAGAGTTGGCATTCAAATAATTTAATGATTAAATAATTTCATATATAACTGGTTTAATTAAATTTCAAGAAGATTTTTGAAATCAAGATCCGTAAAACCCCCAAGTTTGCAACCTTTTGCAATGTTCTTTTTATCCAACAGTTTTATTTGATGATTTATGATGCCACACAATCTCCTACTATAATCTCTGGCATAAACTTTTAAAATTAAAATTTATATAAAATCAACTTACAATGAAATCTGCCATGATTCTGTGCTTGCTCTGCCCACTTATTGACCACTGCCTCTGTCTGGCTGTGGGAAGGGCCGGCATAATGGCGGTCTTCGCAGACAGAAGGTCGCGCTGAGTCTGAAGTATTAAGAAAACTATCATAACGGTCCAGCAATCTTACTTACCAAAAGGGCGAATCAATTTTTACTGGCTGATGATCCTTGGGAATGAATTTTGAGGACTAACAGTAACAGTATTGGCTCAACAGGATCAAAAGTACATTCCTGTACATAATTCCCCTTCATCCATCAATTCAATTATTTCACATTTCTCGCTTAAAACAAATTAATCAATCTGGCAAAAAATGGTGCAATTTAAGCTGGATACATTTAGGCAAAATAACTTGTTTAGTATATGGCTAAACAGTACATGCTAGAGTGGTTTCAATTTGTAATTATTTTGTTTTAAGCTGAATTTCAAATGCATATCTTCTATCATATATATCCTTCATTGTATCATGTCAGTTTCTAGATCTCCTGAGTCAGTTTCGAGTGAATCAGTTTCTAGACCTCCTTAGTCAGTTTCAAGTCTCACCTTATCAATCATCCTGCCAGTTCTCTTCTGCTGTAACACTGCTGGAACTGGTACATCACCAGTCTTCCCATCCATTGCCTTCTTATTCCTCCTCTCTGCCACATCAGTTGGAGGGGTCAAGACCTCTTTGGCTGAAAACCTGGCCATCAGTTGTTCTGAAATGCTAGCTTTGCTTCCAGTCGACACGACACTGTCTGTGTCTGAGTTATGGCCGGAGTTATGCCCTGCGTTTCGCACAGTTGAGGAAGCTGCTGCTGCACTTCTTTTAGGGGACTTCTCTTTTGGGCGTTGATAAGGGTAAATAGGATTGGCACATTTGCGTTTGCTGAAAGAAAAGTTTTAATTGGTAAAACAATAAGAAATATTTACTGATAACCTCTATGCTATAGCTGATGTTGAATAATAATGCTTAAAATTGCTCATAATTATTGCTTTGGAAGCTAAAAGTAATCCTACAGACAAGTGAATATCAGTGATCATTTTTCTGTTACACCGTCACATTAACACTAGCATACTTACGCACAAGCCTTCTTTCCTAGACCCTTTCCTCCAAACTTCGGCATGTCCCTTGGAAAGATAATTTAGAAAATAAAAGTCCCATACCAATTAAGGATCAACAGGTTTCATAAATAACTCATTTCAAATTTTTTTATTATCACACCCGTAGTATCAATTACCTTTCCAACTGATTTTCAAATATGCATAACTCATTTCCTATAAATGCAAAGGCAAAATAAAACAAAATATTTCTATGAAGTGTAAGTTTAAGAAACACAAAAATATTATTTTTCAAGCCAGTATCATAAAAATACTAACCTGCATGCCACGCATGCGCCGCAATCTTTGGTAAGACACCCAGGACATTTCTTACACCGCATCATGCGCCTGCCTGGTATTTTCACCACAGGTTGCCGTCTCTCCAGGGGACTCTTTCGCGGGGAGGACTTTACAGGGGTGGTCTTCTTTACATGGACAACATCATGCTTCTTGTCCTCTGACCTGGATATGATTTCGTCCATTGGAAGATCAGAGTCAGAGCTGTCTCCTGAAAAATTTTGTTCCAGTTCTTGGTTTAAAAAGTCATATATAATGATACATAATAAACATTTTCAAAGTTAATCACATCAAATGAGGCATATATTAATTCTCAGCCATTTTACTGATATGACACTGGTATAATATTTATCTTGGCAAATCTCTTCCCCTCACAATGGTCTCAACCAACACAACCACTATGTTTCTCAACCAACGCATTCTCACTCACCTGCCCTGGCTTTCTCCTCATCCTTCAGTATCTGTGCCTTCTCCAGGTTGGGAAGAGCACTGAGACGGAGTTCAGGGGTTAGTGGGAACTTCGCTGGTGTGCCCAGAGCCACTGCTGCCTTTCTGCACACATGCTTAATCCTAGATGGAAATTTAGGACAATATGGAACATCACTAAGGACAAGATAGATCATTATTGCTTAAGAAAAACCATGGATCGTCATGAAGGACATAGTTTTAAACTGTTTGGAGATGATCAAGAATTATCACAGTTTAAGGAACGTGTAAATTATCCATGCATAAGGAATTTTTTTACATTTAAGAACAACAAGGTTCATTGCTGTTCAAGGACAACAGGAAAAATATCACAATACTTAAGTACCTGCTGAAGCTTATAAAAACTAATTAAACTAATGGTGATTTAGTGTGAAAACAGACAAATGTTATCATCAAATGGTATGATATCAGAAACTGCTAGGTTAGATAACTCAAGACTTTGAGTTTGTAATTTTTAGTTTACCTGGGGCCTCCTTTTACCAGGGGAGTTGTCTCAGTGCCATCTGCTGACTCTGCCATTGGCTCAGCAACCTCCGCTTCTGTGTCTCCGAAATCCAGCCTTCTGGAGGGACTGATGACCGATTGTCCTTCACCTAGTATAGATTGGCCTAAATGAAAAAGGGATTTATCTAGAATATAATGTCAATGTTTATATTTGGATTGAACATGTGGCCTGCAATTATATTTAACTTACAAGTTGAGAATAATTCAAATATGCCTTAAATATCTGCAAAATTATTGAAAACAGAAATTAATCACACAGATTTCCGCACGAAATATCCACAAACCCTTTCATATGAAACAGATTCCCATTATACTTTGGACAAGTTTATATTTCAGTACTCTTATCAATCATTGCAGATTAACATATTTATTTCATGCTCAATTAGAGTAAATTCCGTAATAAATCTCCCCTGGGTTTGGCATTAGTAAAAACAGCCCTCAGGTGGCCAAATTTCAATCAACTTTATATTGTTTGTCAATTTATTTCTTTAATCCATTCTTATGTTAAACAAGATGGAAAAGATGTGAAGACATATATTGTACCTTCTTTACCAACAGCCTCAGCAGCCAGACTGGCAAAGCTTGGCATCTCTTCTCCAGTACCATCCAGAACATGTTCACTGGTAGGCTGCGGGGACTAAAATGACAGAGATCAGTCTGAGAGATAACTCAAGTCAGATAAAATATCAATCAGCTCAAACCCACACCCTCACCTTTAGACAAATATATCTAATTTTATCAAAATCAGTAAATCATCGACATCACATCTTAAAACTTTTTGTAAAATTTAATGATCTTTTACATTTATTGTTTTAAACATTAATTGAAACATTACCTTAATATATAACATTGAACATTTTGCTAAATACCTCATAATAGCTAAGATGACTAGCACCTCCGTGAAATTTATACCCAAGGTGCTAATATTATCACATATAGACTTTATCTTAAAAATGGAGCAAATTCTAACAGAGACGATTACTTTGAATCCAGATTTCCGCCTTCCTATCCCTCCAAACCACTCTATACACTTGTTCAGACGACATGGAATGCATCTCTTGGTCACCCATTCTCCATTATTCCTCAGTATTTCACAGTCGCCTGGAAGGACAATACCAAAGAAACTTAATTCAAAACAAGATTCTTTTTTTCTGAAAGTGACAGTTTGCACTTGGTATGAACATTCTGTGTAACATTACATCGGGGGGGAGTCAAAGTATATACCTTCAGCATCTAACATCACTTTTAAATTACAATTAAAGGAAGAAAATATTCTTTTTGTCTTTACACAAATTACCTACACATAAATCATAAGTGAAACAAACAAAAAAAGGTAATTAATCAGAAAATCACAACTGTCCTGAGTTCATTCTTCTCACATAAATATGTCATTCAAGTGCTGAAACTTCTAATTTTCAAAGGAAAGCGTAATACACTTTACCATCTTTTCTTAAACCAATCTATGCTTAAGTTCAACATTTAGAATTCACTCAAATTAACCAGCTATTTGGCAGAAAAAAATTTACATACTTATAAAATGACCCCAGTTATATATCTAAAGGAAAATAAGTGACACTGAATTAAAATTCTACGAAATTGACAATCTGTACTGGGCCCGTAACTTGAAACCATCAAGCATTGCAATCGAGTGCAAGAGTCTCGAATCTGTAACTCGCCCATACTCACCCCATATAATACACTGTAGGCTCTATGTAATATTACTATTTGCAATACACGATGCTTTCAAGTTACGGGGCCCAGGTATTTTAACTTACCTTGCTGTAGACACTTCCGGTGACTTGGATCTATTCCTTTGCTGCTTCTGTTGTAGTAGAAGAAGCGGCAAGATGAACAGCGGTAGATATTATCAGTCGTAGACAGAGAGAGTTTGACATGATCTCCACAGACGACACACACTGGGTCTGAGTTGCCCTGCGACCATTTCTCCAGCCCAGTGGCGGCGTCACCTCTGCTGCTGCAATTTTTCTCCAATGCTCTCAGAGTAGCATCCTGCAAGTGAAGACAAAAAGTTGCAATAACATTCTAATTTTACTACCATCTTGCTCAATTCATTATTTTCCATACTGTACAAAAGAAAACAAAACGAAAAGAAAGAAAAAAATCTGGACAACTTCTACCTTATTCCTTTAAGGAGGTGATTTTAACACTATAGAGAACAAGAACTCTCATCTCAGCTGTTAATTGAAGACGTAACCATTACATTAACTAACCTCCTTTCTTGTTCCTTGGGTGAATTTCTGGAGGCGGCAAGCTCTGCAGGAGGACTGTACCTGACC